CGTAGACGTAATGCCATTAGCAGTTGATCTCATTGGTATGAACTTGTGGATCCATTTATATATGTTTACCAAGATATCAAGTATACTTCATATCGAAGGGAATGATATTAAACCTACCGAGTAAGAGTTCTTATGATGGTAACCCTACCTTGTTGACTGGAAATTCCAAGATCTTGGTTCAAAGGGACAACTAAGTTATGAGGATTTCATGAAGCACTAAGGAAACTAATTTTCTAACTCATTCCTATGATACGAAAGTACTTTCTGCAAAGTGGTTGGAGGTTAAGATAAACTTTTAGGGTGTGTTTGATTACATTTATTTTCCATAGAAAATATCAATTTTCCACCCAAATTCCTATTTTGAGTGTTTGATTGCTATTTTTTTCATGGAAAACATTTTCCGACTTTTGAAAATATGTCTAATTTTCCTTTTTTTTAGAAAAAAATATTTTACTTGGGTAGAGGTGGTTTTTATTTTCCACAAAAGATGAAAAATATTTTCTTTTCTAGGTGATATTTTTCATGTCAATCAAACACACTCTTAATGATTTCTATATCTTGATTAAGTCAAGTGGAGTAGGGCGAAATACTCTTAATAGGAGATCACCTATATAAATGTAAAATGGGGCCGCTTCAATGAGAATTATTCAAGGTTTGAATTCTCTAAACACTTATAGAACCAAGATAGGTTGAGGGCCAAAATGAACTAAGTCATGAGAACTATGAACGGGTGGGGCGGGGCGGGGCGGGGTGGGGCGAAGATGAAGATAAACAATATTCCCTTTCTTTTCTTCGATTTTTATTTATTTTGTTTTTACTTTTCTATTGTTATTATTAATTATTAATATTAAGAAAAAATGCAAAGTACCACTTTGCCCTTTTTAATTTGGTCCAAATTGGTCAAATTTTGACTTTTCTAGTCAACTAACGGTCAAACGGACAATTTCCATCCAGTTGAATCCTCGGTGCATATTTTTGAAAGGTTTGAGACTTTGTGGGTGGCACAAACTAAAGGTTTGGTACCTCGACTGCAATTTTCCCTATATATTACAAATCATTTTCTTAATATTGCAGTGTCCTAATTTATGTTTCCAACATTGCTAATTTTATGAAAAACTCAGAAAAAGAAAACAATTTCTCTCACTTATTAACAACGTATATCACGGGACCCCACTAATCTTTGTTATAAGAATTTTTCCATGTGTACAGAAAATCTACAGAAATTTCACAATGAAGTGGGTTCCAATGAATAAAATGATGCAAAAAACCACCCACTTACCCTGATGTTGTGTCTATTTTGTGTGGATTTTTTCTGTACGCATTCTCCCAAAAACAAGAACTAGAGACTAGAAAAAGGAATTGGTGGCAAACAACCTTAAGAAATTTGGCCAAATTTGAATTCTAACTTATGGCCTTTTTGTCTTAAACCGAGCCTAATAACTTATCTGGAAAACAACCATATGTTGGTGACTCCAACAAAGGACACCGTGATCGGCCCGAAAACCAACTTATGCAAACCTCGACAGGCAACGGCGGCCCCAAGTGACATTTACTCGTCCACCTCGAGGACCACACAAGCGCCCACAGGGCCGGCCCTCATATTTTGGGGGCCTTATGCCAATTTCAAATTGGGGCCCTATATTTTGAGTTATTTTGTATAGAGTTTTAGCCCCTGTTTGATGGAGATTAAGCTATTGTTTGAGGCCTATTTTTTCATCAAAATACATTTTTCAACAATAATTTGACACCATTTTAACCATACATTTTTTAATAAAATAATATTACACGTAAATCCAAATTTTTTTCTTATTTTTTAACCAAACATTCTCCATCGTAACACTATTTCAAAATGATTTTTTTTATTTTTAGAAAAATGGGGCTCAAACAACTCCTAAAATATAATTTCCATTTTTTCAAAATGCTTTATTAGTTTCTTATGTTTGTATATGATACTTCTATATTACAGAATTTCATAAATACACTTTTCATTTTTTTTTCGACCAACCAATTAACTTTACATAATTTGGGACCCTCACCAAAATGGGGCCTTAGGCGATCGCCTGCTTCGCCTGTACTCAGGGCCACCATATAAATACTTTCTATAATTAACACTGGAACTAAAATACTCGAGATTTTTCAAGAATTTTGTTATATGATCAAGAACTCCACTGAAACGACCCTGAGAGATGAAAAGATGGACATGCATAGCTATCACATGCATTTATTAAATGGAAAGTCATTAATGTTAAACAATTCATTAACTTCACTAAACTACTTCAATTAAGATTTCATTAATGTTAAAGTTTTCTTAATAAATTACATAAGCCACATAAATTCTTACGTTATCAATTTGAGAGCGGTTTACAGATGAAAGAATGGGGAAATTAAATCCCTCTCTTAGTTGTCCACTACAATAATTCTTGATTTATTGCATTATATAAATCAAGAGTCAAGACCTATCTTTCACTCACAAATTGAGACGCCTTCCAAATTTGTTCTCTTGGTTATTGGTATTCTGGCTTACACCAGCACCACAAGAAATCTTGTTGGCTCAAAGGGTTCTTTCAATGATGAGAAAACATTCTCCTTGGATAACTCGATTTCAGGAGTCGGAGGGTTTGGTGATGGAGGTGGTTTAGGGGGCGGTATTGGTTCATTTAAACTTTATCAAATATATAAGTTACAAACTTATTTAGTTTATTTTGTTCTTAGGGATGCAAAATATCACATACCTTGGCTGCTTCAACATACATGGCATAAGAAAGCGTAAAAAGTCGACGCTTATCATGGATGGAATGTACTTCTTAATAAGGGTTAGTATGTTTCATTGGATTTCTGGTGATAAGTCATTCACCAGTGATGCATAATGTTATCACTCTGTTTAGGGTTTACAAACTTCGATTGAGTTTTTTGTTATTTTCATCTTTAATCTCTACTGTTTATTTGGAATGTGAAAATTGAATCATTGTTATGGAATCGTTTAAAGCTTTTTACTATTGATAATTTATTTATTTTACCCTTTTTATTTTAAATTCTTACCATACTTTTGGCACATGAACCTTTAACATTCACAGAAATGTAGTAAGGGGTAAAAATAAACTGGGGCATGTATTCAAATATGAAATTATGAGTTACACTCAGTTCTGGAAGCTAGGAGAACAGCTTTTAACTAAGGAATTGGTGCAAAATATTTGATATTTTCTCATTATTGAGTCGTAGGCAATTGAAATCGTGAATGGAATGCTATTAAAATTGAAATGAAATTGAAGTATAGAGATGTGGGTCTTGGATAAACTTTTCCTACTGATGTGTCCTAGAACGTAGTTAACTCTAATTCTTGCATTTTTTGAGGAATTAAGTAGAGATATCAACAATTCTAGATTCCTATCTAATTTAAAATCAGAGTAATCGTTCACTCTCCTTTCGTGGTTTCTTGCTTCTGTTTTAGTGTAACATCAGCGAAGAACCTCCATTGAAAAAACAAAGTGAAATTTGTTATGTTACCAAAGTTATAGTAAGTTTGTGTTCACGTAGATGAATTTCTTGATAAGATAGAGCCAACTGAAAATATTAGTTACCACAATACATTGCCATATTGGTATGTTTATTAAACCCAAAGAATAAAGTCTTTTCCCCCACTAATTTGCTTTATTTTATTGGCTGAGAAATGTATATTCATTTCATATTATATCTGTTGTAGATGATTTGTCTGCTATGCTTCAACTTAATGTTTCTTTTTGGTATATAGTTTATTTATATTGGAAGTCAAATATGAGATAATGTAACAAAAGAGGAGCAAAATTGATTTCTTGTTTTATCCGTATGATTGACATTTAAAAACAAACTAAGCCTTTCAACTTAGTACATTATGTTATTGCTCACTGTACTTGGGTAAATGCACCTGAACTGCCATATGTATTTAGATTCTATTTTATAGATTTCTTCAAATACTCCTTTGCACTCTATAGTTTAATTCAACGCTCTTAGTGATTAACGGTTTCGTTATATATGGATTCCTTTTTAATCATTAAAAAGTTAATAATTAATATTGGATCTTTGCTAAATACTAACAAATGGCTGATGTTGTTTATTTCTCCTTCAGAAAATTGAAAATTTTGAGAAAGCAACTCAAAAGGTTGGAAGAGGAATTCTTAGTGGACAGCAAAGTTCTAATAAGGTCAGTTGTGTTGAGATCCTTATCTCATTCTCATACACTTTATGATTTCTTTGTACTCTATCGTGTTGACCATATGAATGTCAACTCGAACGTATTCCGGCATTCTTCTGAACAATTAAAATTACAGTTTGCTTAATAATTTTACCTATGCTTCCAAAAGGCTATTAGGAGTTCTACTGATTTTGCTCAAGCTTGGCCCTCCATCTCTGTATTCAACGATCTTCTGTCCATCTTTCGACACTTACAGGTGCCAATTTTGTTGTAATGTGTTTTCATATTTGTTTTCACGATGAACACGATGTAAATTTAAATGTGCTCGTGCACATTTACATTTACATTTACTTTCATCAGAAAGTAAATGTAAATTTACACGTGTACATTTACATTTACTTTCATGATGGACACGATGTAAATGTAAATATGCACGTGGTCATCGTGAAAATCGTGAAAGTAAATGTAAATTTACACGTGAAAGTAAATGTAAATGTAAATTTACACGTGTACATTTACATCGTGTTCATCACAATTTAAAATTAATGTTTGATTTGAACTGAATTTATAAATTATTTTCTACCTAAACGGAGCTTTTTGAAAAAAAAAAATCCAAGAAGACGCGATTCATTAGTCACAAAATTAAAAGATAATACAATAAAATAAACAAAAACAAAAAAACTTTATTGACGTGTCTTCATTCATAACTACACTTCGTACGGTGAAAACATCTCTCACTCCAGTAACTTTCAGAAACTAAACATCGTGTTCATTTTCTAGGATCAAAATTGAAAGAAAAAGTTCAAGATTTGTAATATAAGAAAAACAAGAATCATGGTTCAATGACAGTACTCCGGCGGTACAATGGGCAGGTTTGACTAATATCCAACCATGTTTTGATGCATTCGAAGTGAAATTCGTGGTTGCATGCCGGAAGACACTGGAACAATTCTTGGTCTTTGAATTCAGATAGACAGATAGAGCATTCATGATCTCTACCTTCTTGTTCGATGTAAATATCGACGACTATTTCATCCATCCTCCCTTTTGTCTTCTGGGATCGAGTTGAAGTTGGTGATGATGGTGGCGGCGGCGGCGGTTGACCATTTACGACTGGCAGCTCATTTTGTTCCGATTCTGCATATCCATTCCTCCTCTTTTTCCACAAATATTGAATCAACAAAAATATCACAGTCGAGGTGAAAACAAATGGTAAAAGATACAAAATATCGGCATCTTTAAGAAAGATGATGAAGAAGGGAGACGGAAAGATTAGAGCAGACAAAAAATTGCAATGCACCGTGGTATTTATATACTAGTTTGTGCGAGTCTCTACAAGGAAATAAATTGTAATACTCGTTTTCAATCAACGTAAGGATGTTTAGGAAAAATCTCGCCGCACAGTAGACATGTAAAAGGTAAGATATTTTTATTAATTATCTTCTGTATTATCGCAATTTTGTGGAGGAAGCCAAAAGGAAATTTTCACAAAGGGGAATAGATTTATATTATAATGTGAATGATAAATTATCATGACATGAGAATGTTAGATTTCTTCAAATACTCCTTTGCACTCTATAGTTTAATTCAACGGTCTTAGTGATTAACGGTTTCGTTCTATATAAATTCCTTTTTAATCATTAAAAAGTTAATAATTAATGTGGGATCTTCTTTAAATACTAACAAATGGCTGATGTTGTTTATTTCTCCTTTAGAAAACTGAAAATTTTGAGAAAGCAGCTCAAAAGGTTGGAAAAGGAATTCTTAGTGGACAGGAAAGTGCTAATAAGGTCAGTTATGTTGAGATCCTTATCTCATTCTCATACAATTTATGATTTCTTTGTATTCTATCGTGTTGACCATATGAATGTCATCTAGAATGTATTCCGGCGTTCTTTTGAACAATCAAAATTGCAGTTTGCTCGATAATTTTACTTATGCTTCCAAAAGGTTACCAGGAGTTCTACTGATTTTGCTCGCGCTTGGCCCTCCATCTCTGTATTCAACGATCTTCTGTCAATCTTTTGACACTTACAGGTGCCAATTTTGTTGTAATGTGTTTTCATATTCGTTTTCACGATGAACACGATTACATTTACATTTACTTTCATCAAAAATGAACAAAAAGAGGGGGAATGGATATTTGTGGATATTTGTGGCGATAAATCATCATCCTTTCTTATCCCACGTGGGTGAGATTGAATAGCAACCAAGGTAAATCAATTGATTGTGGTTTGGAACTGATTGGACTGGTTATTGGCTGAGAAAGGTGCGTTGGACTAAGCCTGAAAATCACCAATTTGAAGATCTTTCAAGAGAGCTTTCGCAACAATTTGGTATCAAAGCTTCAAGGTGGTGATTTTGGCTCGTGAAACATATAAAAAAACGTCCAGAAATTGCAGCAGAAATCAGATCAAAGAAGCTGTCCAAAATTTGTCAAAATCAGTCTCCGTTTTTCACGTTTTCTGATCAATCCAGAAGGAGTTTGGAGAAACGGAGAGCACTGGCGTAACATGCAGGAGGAGACGAACCCTGCAGGCCGGCGCGTATTGATCGAGGGCGGTGCGTGTGGTGGTGCGTGAGGCCCACGTACAGAGGGAAGGAGCCACGCGTGAGGGCACGTGGAACATTTTTTGGCGACGATCTCTCCAGGCAATTTGTTCCTCATATTATTTCTGACTTTTTTGTGTTGAAAGTTTTCTATTTCAGGGTACGCAGTAGAATCTGGACAGCGTTGTTCTTTGGACATTCAGGACTCGATCATGGTTTTTTGGTTGCTGCAGCTTCCAGAGACTTTAGGACGAATAGTGGTGGTCCTAAAGTGATAAATCTGCAACTCTCGTAATTTAAGGACTTAGATAGGTCCGCTCTGGTATATTGGCTTAATTAGTTTAAATTTCAACATTAGCAAATCATGGTATGGGGTGATCGTTAGGATTGGGGGTTGTCATTGCTTGGCAACCATTGCTTATGCTAGAAAATTTAGGAATTATTTGCCCTATTTTTGAAGAGTTGAACTTTGATTGCAGGTTGGTAGTTGATTTTGTGCTTATCTGTCATATAGTCACTGTGTGAGAATTGTTGCGTGAAAATTTGAAATTTTTGTTTATATACCTTCGTGTTTGCGTTAATTATCCAACTAGAACACCCAGACTTGACCTGTTCGAACATTCCCTTGATCTAAGATCATGAATCTTACGAAACCTTGGAAATCTAGAACGGTGTATATTGCGACTTTAGGATTACTTTGTGTGATCTATTTGTGACTTGGTTGTTCTGTTTTTCATTTTCTCTTTAAAAATATCTTCACACTTTGAAGTTGGAATTTTTAATGGGAAAGGGGATTTTTCAATTTGTCAACAAAAGATGAAGGGTATTTTGGTCCAACAAAAAGTTTCAAAGGCCATAGATGGCAAATTTCTTGCAAATTTAACAGAAGTATAAAAAGAAGAGTATGATGAACTTGCATACACATCAATTATTTTACACCTGTCCGATACTATTTTGAGAAAAGTAGGAAAACTGGATTCTACAAAACAATTTTGGGAAAAGTTGGAGGACTTATACTTGTTTAAGTCAACTCCTAATAAATTGTACTTGCTTGAACGATTTTTCAGCTTTAAAATTGATCCTTCAAAGGATCTTGATGACAATTTGGATGTCTTTAACAAGTTAGTTCAAGATATTGTTAATTGTGATGAAGAGGAATCTGAAATGTATAAGGCTATTATCCTGCTTAATTCCATGCCTGATTCATATAGGGAAGTTAAGAATGCAATTAAGTATGGTAGGGACACCTTAATATCCGAGATTGTCATAGACTCTCTTAGGAGTAAAGAGATGGAAATGAAGGCTGAAAAAGAGGATAAGAGGAGTGGTGAGTTACATATGATGAGGAGTAGGATGAAGTTTAAGCAAATGAATTTGGGTAGAACTCAAGACGGTAGTGATTCGAGTAGTGACTCAAGTGATGAAGGTAGTAAGAAGAAGGGCAAAGGACGAGAGAAGCCTAGTGGTAGAAGGTGTTACAGTTGTGGTAAGTTTGGACACTTTATTAGGGACTATCCCAAGAAGAAAGATAAGCTGAAGGGTAAGATGAGAGGTAAGACGTATTTGGTTGAGGGGTCTAGTTATGACCCCAGTGAGCTTTATTAAGTGTAAACCTAGTCACTGCATGTTCATCTGTGTGTGATCCTTTTCTGCATGTGTGTGATTGTCTAAATTTTGTTGCATGATTATCTGCTACATCTCAATGTATTTGATATGTGCATTTGCATGAATTTGAGACATTAGGATTACTTGGTGTAATTTCTTGCATGCATAGTGGGTTAGAATGCATTAGCAGTGTGTTAGATGTCTTTTAGTAAGGTGGAGTATAGATGCCTAGGGGTACATGGTGGTTTGTACTGGGGATGTGGAGTGTGACATTTGGATCACGAGTGGATATGTGATCAAATGTCTAGAATCCTTTATTTGGAAAGAGATTCTATACAGGTGGAGTGTGAGAGAGGCACTTCTATCACTTCTATAAGGGGGAGTCCCATTATCTACATAGGTTGGGAGAAGTGATATGGTGATAGAGGATTATCCCGAGAGATTATGATCTATTGTGACTTGTCAGTGAGACATGAGTTAAGTGATTGGTTTAGTGAGCATTGTGGGCGATGAGAGGAGATATGTGTTCTCAAGGTGTGAGCAACACGGATTGAGATAGGATAAGTGTGGTGAGATCTTTCGTGAGGTCATTTATGCATGTGTTGCATATGTGTTTAATCGTGTGCTGATTAACTTGGTGTTAATCGGTGGTTCAGCATGAACTTGAATTTTGAAAAGATCTGTGTACGATATCCTATATAGTATCTTTATCGCATGATTAGTTGTTCACTGTAAGTACTTGTTTCTACCTGGGTGTTCTTGACCTTAGCCCTGGTGAGTATATGGAGCAAGTATGGTATGTGTTTCAAGTTGGAAACACGAGGTAAGGTCTTTGATCCAATTTTATTGGCTACTTGATTATGCAAGTGCTAACTGCGTGTTTTAATTGCTTGTAGATTTATTGGATATCAAGGTGGAGATTTGTTAGGTTTTTGATATCTAATAAATCTCGAGCTATGATGTTAAAGTAGGTTAATATTATTTCATAGGCATAGGCCGATGAATGAAATAAGTCCAACAACTAAGTCCATAAGCTACACCCGACCCAATTGTATTCCTTATGGATGGCGTGAATCTTGGCCCGTTTACCCATTTAATGGCCCAACTTAAAGCCTAGCCCTAGAGTATATATTTGACTATAACCCTAGCCACATTCTAATGATGAGTGTGTGATTTTGAGAGAAGAAAAAGTGAATCCCGACTGCCCTCCTTTGTGTGAGAAAAAAAGGTGTCGAGAACGCTTGTATAACGTGTACAATTGGTGGTTCTTTCATAGTATACCTTTGAGGTGTCTTCTCTTAGCCTTTGTGGCAATAAATCATCATCTTTTCTTGTTCTACGTGGGTAAGATTGAATAGCAACCAAGGTGAATCAATTGGTTGTGGTTTGGAGCCGATTGGACTGGTTGTTGGTTGAGAAAGGTGTGTTGGACTGAGCCTGGAATTCACCAATTTGAAGATCTTTCAAGAGAGCTTCCGCAACAGAGATTAAAGATGAAAATAACAAAAAATCAATCAAAGTTTGTAAACCCTAAACAGAGTGATAACATTATGCATCACTGGTGAATGACTTATCACCAGAAATCCAATGAAACATACTAATCCTTATTAAGAAGCACATTTCGTCCATGGTAAGCGTTGACTTTTTCTAATGCTTTCTTATGCCGTGTATGTTGAAGCAGTCAAGGTATGTGATATTTTGCATCCCTAAGAACAAAATAAACTAAATAAATTTGTAACTTCTATCTTTGATAAAGTTTAAATGAACCAAATCATAAATAGGTAGAAGTATAATACTATAGACTTCACCTTTAGTTTTTGTGATTAATACTTTCATTGTACTTAAAATTACAATCTGTAAAATGACAAAGCAATAAAGAATGATTTTAAAATGAAGAATCTTAATGCAAAATGCATCAACAAATTGAATAGATGCAATAATGAAAAATTGAATACAATCATTTGTCGATAATAAATTACTGCGTCTATATTTTTTAGGCACATTTGAAACAGAATATCTACAGCTCAGAGTGAATGTATCTTAAGGATAATTGTTTGTGAGGAAGCCTCTCCTCTCTTACATGTCACATATCACAAGGTCAACAACAATGAAGCGCGTCCAAAATTAAACTGACAGCAATGTAATTTTTGAAATTTGTAACCTTGTGGCCTACAGCTACAGCTAAATTTCCCCTTGGGCATGAAAGGCGACTATTTCGCGTGGGTTAGTCGCTAACAATTAAGAAGGATCAGACGATTGTGTAAGGGACAAACCTCTTGAGACAAAATCCCAAAAAGGGGTGTTCTTTTATTGGCGATGACTTTACAATTGGAAATTAAAAACAATGTGCCTCCAAGGGGCGCAAGCACACGAGTTACTGAAAGAAAAGTATTTAAGTCTAAGCTAAGGAAATTAAAATTACATGTTCTCTGTTCGAGAGTTTTTGATTCGATCCTTTGCTTCTATGTCTTTTCTCCCTTTTATACTTCATGGACGATCTCTTTGTGATCAACCATCCTAAAAATTGCTTGATCGTCTTATAACTGCCCACTTTCCTCGTAATGGCCAACTTGTCATGAAAACTGCCTTTTTTAACTGCTGCCATTACTCTTCATCGTTCAACCGCTTTCGATTGAATTCCTTGAATCGTAGAACGTGATAGGGCTGTTTTAATAACTGCTTTGATAACTGCACTTCTTGATAACCACAACGCTTTATGTTTGTTAAGACCTTGGGCGACTTGAAGGTTTGGGCGAGAATAGAGTAACAGCTCTGGGCGACTGTATGGCACACCATTCGCTCAGATTCTGGGCGACTTGTAAACTTGGGCGATGGCGTT